GCAAGAGCCGCGTCGACTTGAACCCCAGTTTTCTTCAAAATGTCTGCAACTTGTTTGTTTGTTTGTTTGTTTGTTTTATTTCCATTCATACTTCAAACATACAATGAATAAAGATTAATGATCAAAACAAGTGTATCAAAATAGACAAAGCAGAACAATACAGCATGAATGGGGGTGGCATCCAGAGAAGGACTGGCCTTCTGTAGTGGAGCACCCGAGACTGCGGTCAAAGTAAACTACATGTATTTGGAATAATGCAAACAATGAGATCCCAGGTAGAGTTTATAAATGTAGTAAGTTCAAACATAAAGTGAGCACATACAAAAACATAAAAGTCGTATACATAAAGGAGAAAAAAATAGGGAAAAAAGGAATTAACGTCTTTCTGAATGTAGGCACGAGTAGCAGTTAAGATTTGTGCAAACAAAATCATTGTACTTATTTAAATAGAATTCCTTGAGGTGTTTAACAAAAAGCTTTTTGGATGAACTTCATCAAACGTCTTATTACCATCCTGTTTCCATTGTGAAAAGTAATGTCCTCCCTTGAAGTTTCCCAGCGCCATTTTGCTTGGAACTCTTTAAGCCCCACCAACTTGACTGAATCGCATGAGAAAGGGGTCAGGGTCCGCGCCAGGAATCACATCACGCATTAATTATGCCGAGGTAACACTTCTTCGTGTAAAACATGGTCCCCCTCCACCCCCTTGCCCACCGCCACAAAATGCACCACGGACTGTTAACCATGACACTGGAATAAAAAAAAAACAGTCTGTATTTGTGTAATCTGTATTTGTGTAATCTGTATTTGTGTAAAACAAAAATCATTGATCGTTATGCTATAATGAATTTTACTAAACTTATAAAACGGAGAAACCGTATTTATCTTAATACCGCTTGTCGTTTTATAACACTGTAAAACGACAAAACGGTCGATGATTCGTTTACTGTTTTTGTTTTTGAGGAAATCCAAAACGGTAAAACGAAATAACGGTATGTCCCGGGATTCAAATTCCCTCTATGCTATAATTTGACCCTAGCGGTGCCCCCACCATTTTGTACCTTCAGCAGCGAATGGCTCTACAAGTGGCATAAATCCCTTTCCAAAATAGAAAATTGTGAAAAAAATACGGAGATGGAACATGGTTCTCAACTTTGAGTACGTAACAAACTTTATAAACAACAAAAAAAAAAAAAAAATTTAAATGGAATTTTCGATGTTTAAAACGTTTTCTAAACGGTGGAAGTGGCCAGGAATCGCCTCAGATTGCACCACAGAGCATCTAAAATCCAATTTTTTTTCCGGGGCCCTTAAGCGGGCACCGGACCCCACGCCGTAAGGGCTTCGCGCTCCGCGCTCGCAGGTCCTGGACCCTTCATTACAATTCTAGGCCCCCCCGGCAAATGGCAGTCTGGATCCTGTGACCAGAGCGCATATGTATCCTGTATCTGAAGTTTGGCCTTAGGGGTGGGGCGGTTTACACAAAGATTCCCAACGGATGAGAATCATGAGATCCAGGGGACGAAGCTGAGTGATTTTAGCCAATAACAAGAGCAGATCCTAGCACTTCCGCAGCCCGTGTCACTTTTTTTCTTGAATTTCTTCTTTTTTTTGGTTTAAATGCTGTTGAGGGAGGGGACTGCCCACATTGACCCCTTAAGTTCATCATACTCTATTAGACACAGAACATTTTTTTCCCGATTTACTATGCTTTAGCTCAAAAAGATAACTGATGGTCGTGGATTCCCGGCCCTTCGAGTTTAACCCGTCCAAATATACCCTCTTTTATTTCTGGCGCCAACGTAAAGTTTAGCCCACTGATACAATTTTTTTTTCTGGCGCCAACACAATTTACCATCTTCATTTCTAGCGTCATTAATGACGACATCCAATTTTGAAACACCCCCCTTGAAAAAATCCTGCGTACGCCACTGTACTGAATAAAGCTCTAATTAAGTCTGTTATTTGAGGTTTCTATACTTTATTTTTACAGCATTTATTTATATAATTAACACAATTTTGTAACATATTTTGGTGTTATTCCTGGTTTATTTCAGAGCGTATCTGTATCGCGGCATTACTTCATTACGCAAGAAAAGTTACGACATCAATGATTACGAAAATCAAGAGAAGTTTATAACGCTGCAATTTCTTGACTGGTCAACTGTTCATTATTTCAGAGCATATCTGTATCTTTCAAAGGAAAACAGTTACTATGACTTGTTCATATAACTGCCTTGTATTCATCAGGTTATAGTCGTGTAATAAAGAATGTACGCGTGTATTACTTAACTGAACTGTTCTCCAAACTAATATGTAGGAGCATAGATTTTAATATAAAAATAAAGCTTAGACACAGTGGTGAACAACAAAATGAAATGTCTTATTTTTTATGTCTAGACTGCATTTGGTTGTTGATGGGTATTTCATGGATTTTGCATGAAGAGGCACACGTTGTGATGAGTCAGTGTAGTACCGCTTCATGTCGCTTCCTGAACATTGCGTTGAAAAATATGTTATGATGTTGAAAAGAATTGACATTTGCATGGCTTCGTATTATTCCATAGACGAGGACTACGTAGAGTCTTAATATCGAAGTATTTTAATATCTGCCAATTTTAGATGAATAGTTGCTCGCTGCAGACTATTTCCATAGATTCATAGTTATCCATAATCTATCACGCTTTCCTATCTAGGCCAGACTTTGTTGACGTCCCTGTGGTTATTGAAGTGAGAAGCATATACTGCGTGCGGTGCTGCACCGTATCGTATCGATTCTTTATCATCTACGATGTCGGTGAAGGCTATGTTCAATTAAGGGAGCGCTGTGTTAAACCAGAAAGCGCTTCCCTGTCTATATACCTTCCAAATTCAGATCAATTGGTCTAATAGTTCTGTAGTTATCAGACTGTAAATGTTAGACATACATCTCAGATGATGGTTAATAATTAAAAGCAAAGTTTAAAGTTAGTTGTACGGAAAGAAAAGCTACAAGAACGGCTTGTAGAATGAAAACGTGTACAAACCTATGGGGAAAGATGCAAAAACGGACAAAAGAAAAAAAGAGAACAATCTTAACGAAAGCAAAAGCTGTTTCAAAATTCGGAAGAGCTATGCAAAAGAAAAGAAAAGTAAAGAAAATATTAACGAAAACAAAAATTGTTTCAGCTGATTTGCCGAAACAGCTAATTAGCTCTGCCAACATACGTACATGTATGTGGAGGACGGTTATTTTTGGTTTTATTTACATTGGAGGTTGTTGAAGTTGTTATTACAGAAATAAGAAAAGAAGCAATTTATTGTGTGGGTTAGTCACATCTGTTTATAGTTTAATGATGATAGGTAAAGAAAATAGTGTTGATCATTGGAAAATATTGTTACGTTTACGTGTAAATGTTGTACGAAACCAATTTGAATGTTGGTTTGGTGCTTTGGTCATTTGATTAAATTGCAAAAATATAAAGACAACCAAATTCAAAGCGAAATCGATGCCTTTTAACTTTAATTCGATTTTGGTGAATGAGTACCTGGCGATCTGGAAAATATTCATCTGGATATTGATCATCTTGAGAAACAATTATCACGTAGCAATCAAACAAGTTCAGTGCACCATTTGACTTATGCTGTTTTGTGACTATTACAGACCGTCGATTTATAGGGCCATGTCATCGAATATTTGAATGCAATCCTGTAACAATCATCGTCATATTGCTACGTTTCATGGATGTTCTGCTGATGCTGATTTCTATCTTAATAAGCAAAACTGTGATGTAATTCACGGAAAAAACTCAGGTATTGATGAATGGGATTTTAAACTCAGATTTATTACAACTCTGTTAAGCCAACACCGTTTTGCTTTGTGAGAATCTTTGCGATGTAACATTATTTTTCTTTTGTACACATTTCACGCAATTTTACAAACAGAAATTCGTTTATGCCCCAATTGGTTTTCGTATTCACTGCTTTAAACGTGTCCATATCTTCACTACACTCCATTTCTCGTCGTGGCTTTCTGTATTGATTTGACCACGTTTTGGGTTGTTTTGTTCAGTTATTTTGCAAAAATTATAATATAGGCCTTCAAAAGCATTACGTCTGCTTCGCGTCATTTCAAAGACGCCGATAACCAGTCGTCCCAATTGAGTTTTTAATATCTACCTTCCTCCGTGACTTCGTTGCGCCTCAGACAATTTTCAAAGATTCATTGTCCATATATTGTTTACGCTTGCATTTTTACCAGGAAAAAAGTAATTGCTAGTCGTGGTGTCATATTGATGTTATGTTATTTAAGCGATTGGTCAAGGTTGTCGTATATTGAATAAGAATGTTTATAATTAATAAACCTGCAATTAGCAAATGCCACCACAACTTGGCTAGCGTACGGAAAGTATCTCCCTCAAAGAAACCCCTAGCCAATCTCAAAGGTTTGGATGCATGCAAGACGCGTGCTCGTTCGTGATTGGTTGGCAATGATGGTGGTCTACGTACCTGCTGAGGCGTGTTGGTTTGGTTTGTATACCAGTGGTATACAGTCAACCGTATGGATTGTCGTTCATTGTATCCCTCAGAATGGACGGAGCAGGAGCTTGGATTCTGACTGTATCAGCAATGATAGGTAAGCTTGACTTCACGCTAAACCTGAACTGTCCTGCAAAACACAGAAACCCAAGGAATTTTGTTTAAATTGAACAGCTGGTTCAAAAACGTCATGTCGCACTAAATTGAAATGAAACAGGTGTCTTTGATGGTTGAGGTTAGTTACCATTGCGTAAGCACACAAAATTCAACACACGGGTAACTACATGTAGGCCTACTTTTATTTTCGTTTATCTATTTGAGATAATTGTGGTTAAAAATTCAGACCCTATTATCACCACCGGCCATTTTGAGAGCCGACACTTCGTCACAAAAGGGATTTATCTATGTGGTACCCAAAAACCTTCTTCCTAATACATAAACCGTTATTGGTTTTATTCCAAAGTGTTCGTGGTCGGTGTGGAGACCAAGGCGAGGGTGTGTTACTTCGGTCCCCCACCGGAACCTGATCCTGATAATCCGGATGACTGGATGAAGCAAGTCATGCAAGAGATACGGGAGCGTTGCCCGGGAACGAAGAAACACACCTCAGTTAGTAAGTCGCCCAAAGATTTATGACACACAGAACATTGTTAAAAATGCACCTTTAAGATGACGTCAAATGACCCGTGATGACGTCACCGTGACGTCAACTGTCAATGTATATATTTAGTATCTGGTCTTTGTGTGTACTACGTTTGACATATTTCAAAATGACGTCTTGATAACGTCATCAACTGATTTTTTAAAATACATTTTAAGACTTTTTAAAATGTAGTTTTCAATATGAATTTCGACATTGTCAAGTCCAAACCTAGTATATCCGAGTCTTAGAAGAAATGTTGTGCTGATTTGTGTTTACTAAGAGTTCTTGGCGATACATGAAGCCAAAATATGTTTTGTTGTTTTTTCATTTGTGTCCTGTTTTGCAATATAGACGAGTGCTCGAGCCCAGAGCCCCTCGGACTTGAAAACGGTACCGTCACTGATGACCACATCACATCGTCAAGCCATCAAAGCAATTTTCCAGCCAGGAAGGGACGGCTGAACGATAACGGTGCATGGATGGCCCAATGGTAGGGATTAAACAATCACTTACATCTCAGTGCATTCTATAAAATGCACGGAAGAATGCAGGGAAACACTGCATGCACAAAAGGTTTACTGATGCCACCAATGTACATCGGCCGCCTTATCACATACGTTATACGATAAACAAAGATAAGATAAGATCATTCTGAGCGCACTATACGTAAACGCCTTCAATGGCGATTTATTGCTCCATCTATTTTTAAATAATCCGTCATCATGGGGCAGATGCTTCGAACTTACAATATACCTTGCACAATGCATTCGCCTTATGGCATGATACAGTGATACAGTGAATGCGCTTTGAATTTGACGATCACATAATGCGACCTCGTCCCCACGCCGTCGAGCAGTATGCGTTCATTTCAACTAGTTGCTCTCCTCTTACCGGATTAATTAGTAACATTTTCAAAACTCGTGAACATTATAAGTTACGGAACTGTCTAGTGCCTGACTTCGTTTTATCAGAGTGTTAGGTTTCGTTTTTGCGGTATTCGGGATACAAACGAACAAAACAAATCACCTGTGACATGCGTGATATGGAAAAACACAAGATATCTTCAAAGTTGTAATGTTATAATCTTATTCAACTAACAAACAATATCACACTAAATCTGATTACCAAAACGAAAAGAGAGGATTTTTTTTTCAGGAGGATGAATTTGGACGTAATAATTCACAATAAGTGCGCTCCATTACTTCCCCCAGCTTACTCGCGCCTGACTCCTCGCGTAATGACAGACATGCGCATTGGAGCTAAATAAATGAACGGTTTCGGGTAAAGTTTCGTACAAGAGCTGGAAACATTGGCGTCGCCAGGATTTTTTTCTATAGGGGGGCAAAACATATTTGTCAAAAAATCCTGTTTTTCTCGACATATTCTCGATTTATCAAATTTAAAGGGGGGAAGGGACATTTTGGCCCCCCCCTTTAAATTTACATCAATATGACTTCTCGCCTCTTTTGTCTTCTTTTTTTCTCTCTTTTTTTTTTCTTCCGTTTTTTGCTTTTCCGGCAGGGGGGAATGTTGCTACCTAACGCCACTTTTTCCTTCATATATCATCTCAATGAAGGTCATTTATTGCGAAATTGATGATAAGACATGAATCCGGGACTGAGAAATATTTCCATTTTTGTTAAGTAAAAATGGCTTGACTCTCCATAGACTTTGTACACAATCGTGGAACGGCGTCAGGTTGCAACAGTTTTCCGAATTCCCAGGCTGCATCCGAATCAATTATGTCGAGAGCACGTCCACGCCCAGTGAAAATACGCGGAGACGCGCTGACAATAATTCGTAACCTACCCGACTTGGGTTTTTGGGTTTTTTTATGCACTCGTGTCTTCTTCTTGAATACTTATTCTCATGCACGCCATACATATTGTGTTTGACGTGTAAGTGAACCAAGTGAAATTTTGCATCAATATCTCATGACAGTGGCGCTCAGTGATGCACGACCCTGGAAATGTAGACAAGGTATCATTGAAAAGCATAGAGATTACGCTTTCAGATGTTTTATTGCCAGTAAACATTTAGTCTGTTCATACTGGTTCTTCAAAGTTGGGTTTCCTTTTTATTGAAACACCCTGTACAGTGTTTTCAAAATACGTCGGTGAAGGGCAAAACCAAATGTTGAGTTTCCATCACCCCGACGAAAATAATCCATCTCGTGAAAGTACAATATAAAAATCCATAAACTGCATCTACTGGATCGAATCAGAATACAGGAAGCAATTTTCTCCGCTAGTGATGTGTCGAGGATGAAATTAGACCTTTCCTCCACTTACGACTGGGTGTGTTTGTTGAGCAAAGTGATTTCATTCATTCCGTTGTGTTTTCTCTCGTTGTACAGGGAAGATACAAATCCTTGGATCGAGGTGGACCTCATTGACAGCACAGTGGTGTGTGGGGTCATCACGCAAGGCTACTCCAAGTACACTGACTATGTGACGCACTACCAGGTTGCGTATCAGAAGCAGCCTTCATCTGTCCGTGAACACGTGAAAGATGGAAACGGAGACATCAAGGTGAATACGTAATTATCCCCGTTTTATGCTTTCTAAAGATTTTGAAATCCAGATTTACGATATTTTACTTCTGCAAAGCTGTCCCACATTAGTTAGTTTTCTTTCAAGCTTATCGTTTTTAAGGTATTTGTTTTTCAAGATCTTATCCCTAAAAAACAGAAACGAAATATACAAGGAGGCACGTAATGTCATGAGCACTGCGTTTAGTTTAAAACATATTATGGCATATTAAAGTGAATTGCATACTTTTCCGTCAGTTTGAAAGTAATGAAATGCATGGGCCCTGTTAAAGCTGTGGAATTAAAACAAATATTTTATTACGAAACCATGCCATTTGCTCTCTCAAATTCAATTTGCGCTTAACACCAATTATTTTCTCCTAGAAGTAATAATCAAACTTTGCAACATCACGCAATATTTGAATGAAAAAGTATTCATGTTGTACAGAGTTAACTAAGCCGGATATATTGTTTACATGTCAGGTATTCATTGGTAACACTAACGCTACTGGCAACACCCCAGTAACTAACCTGTTTGATGAGAGTGTGGTGGCGACGGTAGTGCGCATCAAGCCTACAGACTGGGAAACTGTTGCTGCTTTGCGATTGGAGTTGCTTGGTTGTCGTCTAAATTCATTCACTTGTAGCATTTAACACGAGAGGCCGGACAATTAAATTAATTAAGTTAAATTGGAAAAGCAATGTCCCAGTGGAAACCTGACCTATTCGATTTAATGGTATTCGATTGAATAAATAGTATTGTGTCAGTTCCTAGTTTGAACCGACTGGAGTAATTTTTCCAACAGAACCTTTCAAAAACAGTTGTAATATAGCAAAAGGACATACAAAATTATTTTAAAAATCTGCAAAGTTTGTATATGTATAAGTTTAGAAAATAATCAAGTTATAGCCTTCTCGTTCTGTTCAGTAACTAAACCGTTTGGAACTGTATTTAAATTGTCCTTTTGTTTTTTGGAATTCGGACAATCTGTTCACATGTTTAGTGAAGGTATGAATGATTAGGAATCGCGGTGCAAACCGTTTTAAGTCTAGCTGTCAAAAATGATGTAGTCGAATTCGTTTTGTGAACGTGATGCGGTATGAAAAATCATGAACCTTACCGATATAGCATTTTCACTGAAAAAGAAAAGACACTTAGACTTCTAGAACACCTTTCAGTTACTACACCTTTCAAAAACACAAATCGTATTACCTATACGATTTGTGTTTTTGAAAGGTGTAGTAACTTTCTAGAAGAGAGAAAGTCGTTTAAGATTTGTTGTGACGTTATGCTGCTTATTAAGTAATAAATAATACTTTCCAAATAAAGTCTATAGTATATGTACAATAAACAAAATACTCTTAACAAAATTTATTCATCTAAATTACATGATTTGTTGACATCTGAGGTATTATTCCTGCTGTATATGTGAGCGTATCGGAATCGCGGCATTGGTTTATTATGCTGTACAAGTTAAGCCTAGTTTCAATATTCATCAGGTTAAATAGTTGTGTACTAACGAACGTATATGTGCATTACTTTACTTCAAGTATACATTTGAATGGATGTACAATAGTACCTCAAACTAATATGTAGCAGCTTAGCTTTTAAAATATCAATAAAGCTTAGAGACCCACAACTTCAGTACAGTCCTGATGTGGTAAACCAGTATATCAAATTTCTCCTTTTCCATGTACTGACTGCAATTGGTTGTTTATTGGGATTTTATACCTATTGCACGAAGAGGCGAACGCTGTGAGATGCTGCAGCACTGCGTCATGTCGATTTCTGAACATGGATAGGTCTTAATGGCTTTGCGTTGTCTAAATACGAGGACTATTCGTAGAGTCCTAATATAGAAGTATTTTAATATCTGCCAATTTCAGATGAATGGTTGCTCGCTGCATTGTAACTCATTGCAGCGAGTTTCATTGTCATCTTTAATTGGCCACGCTTTCCTATCAGGCCAGACTTTATTACAGTCCCTGTGGTTATTGAAGTGAGGAGCACATTATGTAATATCTGCGACTTCAGTGTAGGCTTCGTTAATTAATCCAGAAGCTGCTTTCAGCAGCTCAGACTCCGAAGCTGAGAGCAAAGTTTAAGTTGATTGTCTAGAAAGTTCCCAAAAAGTGGCTTGTAGAAAGAAAACGTGTACAAAACCTATCGGCCAGAAAGGTGAAAAAAAAATCTAATTCAGCTTATTAGCTTTGTCAATATACATGTACATGTAAGTGGAGGACGGTTATTTTTGGTTTTACTTAGGTTTGTAAAAGTGGTTATTAGAGAAATAATGGAAGAAAAAGGAATTTATTGTGCTGTTTTGTTAAATGTGTTTATATAATTTAATGTGACGGGTTAAGGTGGTTGTGTTGTATTGTGTTGATTACTTTTACATGTAAATGCTGTACAAAATAAATTGAAATGTTGGTTTGTTGCTTTGGTTAATTTGATTACATTTCTAAAATATAAAGAAACCCAAATTCAGCAGCAAATTCGATGCATTTTCACTGTAATTCGATTTTGGTGAATGAGGACCTGTCGATCTGGAAAAAAATCATTAAAATCAGATGGGAATTAATCATCTTGAGAAACAATCATCTTCGCAGCAAGTCCGTTGTGTCATCTGACTCTCTTGGTATGCCTATTACAGACCGTCGATTTAGTGGCCATGTCATCGAATATTTTTATGCAATCCTGTAACAATATTTTCAATCGTCATATTGCCACGTTTCATGGATGTTATGATGATACTGATTTCCATTTTAATAAGCAAAACCGTGATGTCATTCAAGGTAGGAACTTAGGTATTTATGAATTGGTTTTTAAACTCAAACTTATTACAACTCTGTTAATCTAAAAACGTTACCCTTTGTGAGAAGCTTTGCGATATAATAATAAATTTTGTACAATCTTCACGCTGTTTTAAAAACAGAAATTCGCTTCAGACTAAACTCCTTTTCGTTTTTACTGCTTTAAACATTTCCATATCGTCACGACACTCCATTTCTCGTCATGGCGTTCTGTATTGATTTGACCGCGATTTTTTTTTTTTTTTTTTGCCAAAAATAGATAAAGCGTTATGTCTGGTTTGCATCATTTCAAAGACGCCGAGAACGAGCCTTAATTTAGTTTCGATTTTAATATCTACCTTCCTTGACGATTTCGTTGCGCTTCAGACAATTTCCAAAGATTCATTGTCCATACACTATTTGCGTTTAATTAAATTTTGCGGGAAAGAAGAAATTGCTGGTGGTTGTGTTGTACTGATTTTGTTGGTTATTTACGTGCCTGGTCATAGTAATCATTTATTTCATGAGAGTTTCAATAAATGACAACCTGCAATTAGCAACTGACATCACAACTTGGCTAGTATATGCAAGGCCCCTCCACAAAGAAGCCCCTAGCCAATCACAAACGTTAGGATGCTTGCAAGACGCTCGTGCTCGCTCGTCATCGGTTGGCAATGACGGTGGAGTACGTTCCAGCTGATGCTTGCTGATATGGTTTGTATATTGGTGATTTACACGCAACTGTGTGGATTGTCGTTCATTGCATTCCTGAGAATGGACGGAGCAGTGGCTTGGATTCTGATGGTATCAGCAATAATAGGTAAGCTTGACTTCAGCTCTATCCTGATCAGTCCTGAAAAAAAGAACCATTACGAACTTTGTTGAAATTGAACTGCTGGATGAATAAAAGTTGAGCTGCACTAGATTGACATGAAACAGGAGCCTTTGATGGGTGAGGTGGTTAATGACAATGCGTTAGCACATCAATTTTAACAAACGGGTATCTACATCGTCACCGACACCACGAACTGACACCCGGTGGTCAGCGTTGCAGAAATACGAATCGGATAAAAACGCTTTTAAAGATTTGACACGAATTTACTCAGTAAAATAATCCATCTATCTTAAAGGTTTTAGTATCACTTAACGTGAACATTCTTTAACTACTCAATTATAAACGTTATATTGTAAAAATCTGCTCAGTTAATTAGAAATTAAATGATTAAGATGGGTTTCAGTTCGTGAAAACGAAAATGTATGTGTTTTTTGGAGAGTGCACGCATGCAATAGCGTTAGTGAGTGTCAGTTCGTGAAAACCAAAATTGACGCGTTTTGGTAGAGTGCGCGCACACACTGCGCATGCGTGCGCGCACTCTCCAAAAGCACGTCAATTTTGGTTTTCACGAACTGACACTCTCTAACGCTATTGCATGCGCGCACTCTCCGAAAACACGTACATTTTGGTTTTCACAAACTGACACCCTGTGCAGGGTCACTTCGTGGTAACCAAAAATACCAGAATTGACCAATTTCTTAAAATTCATTAGTAAAATTTGCTTATTTTAGATGATTTCAGCAATTTTAACTTCGTCATGTTAAACTTCATGATACAAACTGCTGATATGTGCAAAAAAAGAAAATTTGAATGTTTAAATTTTTTTGTACACATGTGATTCAGAGGGTGTCAGTTCGTGGTGTCGGTGACGACATGTAGGCCTGCTTTTATTTTCCTTGAACTATTTGAGCCAATTTGATGTTAAGAATTCAGACCCTTTTCTCACCACCGGCCATTTTGACAGCTGTCACTAGGTCACAGAAGGGATTTATCTATGGGGTACCCGGAAACCTATTTCCCTATATAACGATCGATATCGGTTTTATTCAAAAGTGTTTGTGGTCGGTGTGGAGACCAAGGCGAGGGTTTGTTACTTCGGTCCCCCACCGGAAGCTGATCCTGATAATCCGGATGACTGGATGGAGCAAGTCATGCGAGAGATACGGGAACGTTGCCCGGGAACAAAGAAACACACTTCAGTTTGTAAGTCGCCCACAGATTTATGACACAGAGAACATTGTTAAAAATGCACCTTTAAGATGACGTCCAATGACCCGTGATAACGTCATCGTGACATCAACTGTCAATGTATATATTTAGTATGTGGTCTTTGTGTGGACTACGTTTGGCAAATTTCAAACTGACGTCTTGATTACGTCATCAACTGATTTTTTTAAACACATGTTTAGACTTTTTAAAATGTAGTTTTCAATATGAAATTGGACTTTGTCGAGTCGAAACCTAGTATATCCGAGTCTTAGAAGAAATGTTGTGTTGTGTGCTGATTTGCGTTTACCAAGAGTTCTTGGCGATACATAAAGCCAAAATATGTTTTGTTGTTTTTTCATTTGTGTCCTGTTTTGCAATATAGACGAGTGCTCGAGCCCAGAGCCCCTCGGTCTTGAAAACGGTACCGTCACTGATGACCACATCACATCGTCAAGCCATCAAGGCAATTTTCCAGCCAGGGATGGACGGCTGAACAATAACGTTGCATGGGTGGCCCAATGGTAGGGATTAAACAATCACTTACATCTCAGTGCATTCCATAAAATGCACGGAAGAATGCAAAAGAAGGAAAAGATACAGGGAAACACTGCATGCACAAAAGGTTTACTGATGCCACCAATGTACCTTGGCCGCCTTATCACATAAGGTATACGATAAACAACGATAAGATAAGATCATTCTGAGCACGCTATCACTGTACAATCACGTAAACGCCTTCAATGGCGATTTATTGCTCCATCTATTTTCAAACAATCCGTCAAAGGTAAAGATGCTTCGAACATACAATATACCTTGCTCAATGCATTCGCCTTATGGCATGATACAGTGATACAGTGAATGCGCTTTGAATTTGACGATCACAAAATCCGACCTCGTCCCCACGCCGTCGAGCAGTATGCGTTCATTTCAACTAACTGCTCTCCTCTTACTGGATTAATTAATTGCATGTTCAAAACTCGTGGACATTATAAGTTACGGAAATGTCTGGTGCCTGACTACGTTTTATCAGAGTGTTAGGTTTTGTTTATGCGGTATTCGGGATACAGACGAACAAAAAAATTCCTCTGTGGCCTTCGTGATATGGAAAAAACACAAGATAACTTCAAAGTTGTAGTATCATAATCTTATTCATCCAGCAAGCAATATCACACTAAATCTGATTACCAAATCAAAAAGGGAGGATTTTTTTCCAGGAGGATGAATTTGGACGTAATAATTCACATCGAATGTTAAAGACATGTGATACACATTGGAAATAAAATCAAACTTATTACGAGATCTCAACATTTAGTTTTGCCCGTCACCCACGTTTTTTTTTATAAACACTGAGTATACAGTGCTCTCAAAAAACGTCGGTGAAGGGCAAAACCAAATATTGAGCTTACATCACCCCGACGAAAGAAATCCATCTCATGAGAGTACAATACATAAATCCATTAACTGCTTCTACTGGATCGAATCAGAATACAGGAAGCAATTTCTCCGCTAGTGATTACTACTGTGTCGAGGATGAAATTAGACCACTCCTCCACTCAAGACTGGGTGTGTCTGTTCAGTGATTTCATTCATCTCGTTGTGCTTTCTCTCTTTGTACAGGGGCGATACAAATCCTTGGATCGAGGTTGACCTCATTGACAGCACAGTGGTGTGTGGTGTCATCACGCAAGGCTACTACATGTACACTCACTATGTGACGCAGTACCAGGTTGCGTATCAGAAGCAGCCTTCATCTGTCCCTGAACACGTGACAGATGGAAACGGAGACATCAAGGTAAATACGTAATTATCCCCGTTTTATGCTTTCTAAAGATTTTGAAATCCAGATTTACGATATTTTACTTCTGCAAAGCTGTCCTACATTAGTTAGTTTTCTTTCAAGCTTATCGTTTTTCAAGGTATTTGTTTTTCAAGATCTTATCTCTAAAAAAAAAGAAACGAAATATTTAAGGAGGCACGTAATGTCATGAGCACTGCGTTTAGTTTAAAACATATTATGGCATATTATAGTGAATTGCATACTTTTCCGTCAGTTTGAACGTAAGTAAATGCATGGGCCTTTTTAAAAACAGTGGAATTAAAACAAACATTTTATTACGAAACCATGCCATTTGCTCTCTCAAATTCAATTTGCGCTTAACACCAATTATTTTCTCCTAGAAGTAATTATCGACCTTTGCAACATCACGCAATATTTGAATGAAAAAGTATTCATGTGGTACAGAGTTAACTAAGCCGGATATATTGTTTGCATGTCAGGTATTCATTGGTAACACTAACGCTAATGGCAACACCCCAGTAACTAACCGGTTTGATGAGAGTATGGTGGCGACGGTAGTGCGCATCGAGCCTACTGACTGGGAGACTGTTGCTGCTTTGCGTTTGGAGTTGCTTGGTTGTCGTCTTAATTAATTCACATCTGGCATTTAATACAAGGGTCTTGACAATTTAGAATGAAGTCAATGCAATTTTGGTTGAAAAACCTTGCAAAGCAATCTCTAGTTGATACTCGATCGATTCGATTGAATGATTTCACTTCAATCTATATTGTTCCTATAGTTTGAATCAGGTGGGGTGATGTTTCAAACAACATCTAATCAAATTAACTTTGTTAATAATGGCACGAAAAACATGGGAAAAAGTAATTAAATTGTTCAGCTGGAATGAATATTTATGGTAAAGTTAATATATATGTATAGGTTTAGTTGAAGGTCTATAAAGAGATTTGGCTTAATCAATTTCCGTTTCTCACTTTTGAAATTTACTGTTTAATTCAGTTTAAAATATAATTCAGTTTATTGAACAAACTAGTATTCTTGGTTATTTTTTAGTAACTAGACTTTCTGGAACTAGAAAGAAAGCCTTTTCACTAATGATGAAAAGACATTAAGAGTTCTTTTCTTTTAGGAAGTTACTACACCACTTTTAGTACGTGAAACACAAATCGTATAAGTAATAAGTAAAACCGTTTAAGATGTAATGTGATTGTGTGTTGCTTACTTACTACTGAATAAAGCTATAATAAAGTATATTATTTAACGTTTCTATACTTTAATTTTACAGCATTTATTTATATAATTAACCAGATTTTGTAACATGTTCGAGTGTTATTCCTGGTTTATTTCTGAGCGTATCTGAATCGCGGCATTAGTTCATTACCCAAGATAAGGTACGATATCAATGATTAAGAAAATCAAGATAATTTTATAACGCTGCAATTTCTTGACTAGTCAACTGTTCATTATTTCAGAGCATATCTTTATATTTAAGAGGAAAACTGTTACTATGATACGTTCATATAACTGCCTTGTATTAATCAGGCAATATTCGTGTAATAAAGAATGTATACGTGTATTACTTTTTTGAACTGTAAGGTTGAATTGATGTAGAAATATTACTCCAGACTAATATGTATGTAGGAGCCTAGCTTTTAATATAAAAAATTAAGCTAAGACACCATCAAATTAAGTACAGTTTTGATGTGCTAAACAACAAAATGAAAATTTCTTCTTTTTCGTGTCTAGACTGCATTTGGTTGTTGATGGGTATTCCATGGTTTTTGCATGAAGAGGCACACGTTGTGAGGAAGTGTAGTACCGCGTCATGTCGCTTCCTGAGCATGGAGAATTGCGTTGAAGGATATGTTATGACGTTGAAAAGAATCTACTATTGCATTGCTTTGCGTCATTCCATAGACGAGGACTACGTAGAGCCTTTATATCGAAGTATTTTAATATCTGCCAATTTAGATGAATGGTTGCTCACTGCAGATTATTTCCATAGATTCATTGTTATCCATAATCGATCACGCTTTGCAATCTAGGCCAGACGTTATTTATTGCAGTCCCTGTGGTTATTGGAGTGAGAAGCATATACTACGTGCGTTACTGCACTGTATTGTATCGATTATTTGTCATCTACGATGTCGGTGAAGGCTACTTTCAATTAAGGGAGTGCTGTGTTAAACCAGAGAGCGTTTTTAGCAGCTGAAACACCATTAAATTGCTACTGCATAGGTCATCATGACGTCATATCAATGTTCATCTATAAATCACTTCCCTGTCGTTATACCTAACAAATTTGTGATTAATCGGTCTAAAAGTTCATTAGTTTTATGACTGTAAAAACAAAACTCGGCATACATCTCAGATGATGGTGGATAACTATAAGCCTAGTTTAAAGTTGATCGTATGAAAAAACGTTGTCAAAGTGGCTTGTACAATGAAAACGTGTCCAAATCCTATGGGAAAAGGTGGGGAAAAGAAAAAGAAGAAAAAGGAAACCAATCTTCACAAAAGCAAAAGATGTAATCAAAATTGGGAACAGCTAAAAAAGAAAAACAATCTGATTCGGCTGACTTGCTTCAGTTCAGTTTTTAGCAATTTTGTAAGGTTTAAAAGTCTTTTCATTGTAACTTCCGGTCTGATGACGTAATCCTTTTTTTTGCGCACTGGTCTTGTCCGCATTAAGGTCATCATGTATATCAATTTTGAAGCGATTACCGCAAATTTCGCCACAGACATCAACTGAAATTGCGTTTTGGAATTTGTTAACCTGCCGCTAGAGGGCGCTCGAACACTTCATGGTAGTCTGGCTCCCTAGACCTGACAATTCTTCCCGACGCTCACGTCTTAATTGTAGGTCAAACAGCCTCCGTGGCTAAAAATAAACATGACGGCATTGACGGCCCTTTTTCAAAGCTCAGCTTCGCTTCCGATTTTGCTTTATCACTGATAGCTTTTAATGCTCTGATCAAATTTGTAAATAAAGCACTTGCTTCGTAATATCATACAGTTATGATAATGTATTTTGATATTTCTGTAAGATAACGTTGACTAACGTTGATCTGGAATCTTCAAAATAAGGCACCCAAATAGCACTGTTAGCAGGCGGAGCCAAATGAAGACCGACTTTTGGAAAATCTCGGTAACGGTCGTCAAATTAAAAAATAGTACATGAACATGACATAGCAAAAAGTTCGCCCATACGGTCCAAGTATACTTGATGCACAAATTCGTCGTTGAATTTCAAGTTTTCTTCACGAAAGCAATTAATATTAATTATCAACTCCTTCTTTAAAGTTTTGAATAAGCAATTAACAGTTAATTAAACTTATAGTATACTTGGAAAAACTCGGGCGCTATCCGATGGTCGACGAAACGAATTCGGCAAACTTCGGACATTTTCGGAAGAAAGAGGAATTCCTCCCGTTTTAGTCACGTGACGTAAATTGTAATACAATGTATAATCGGAGGCTACCCGACCCTAAGATTTTTTTGGAAAGGTCAACCCAGCCATACACTAACACCGTTAAAAGCAAGTTCATATCTTTTTCCACTTTCAAATTATAAGGCACTTCGTGTTTCGACTGGAAAGAAGGGTCACGTGATTTGACGCGCATAAGAGAAAATGAAGATCATATATTATCTTGTCGATCCCAGCAAATTTCACGTTCCGGTCTCTCACGGTTGATTTCATACTGAATTTCAAAGATTAAATATATTAATTTTTGAAGTGACGTCACGTGACCCATGGTGACGTCATGATGACAATTGAAGTTCATTGAAAGTTTTCATGTTGACAAACAGTTCTAAAGAAGAATTTGCTGAGGAGAACAATAACTAGAGATTCGCGTTTGTTGTTACAAACGCAGAGTGGTCGGGTAGACAACTATTTCATGAAACACTGTCAAGTAAGATTTGAGGCTTTGCATGGTGAAGATACTAAATAATGAAAGGTTTGCAGAAACACCATGTGCGAATAATTTCTCAACTAAGAGAATGGTTCTGAAAAGAACCAAAGGTATAAACTCGACGTTCCGGTCAGTATGCTCTGACCGTCTTCAGGAGAGTGCCTAAACTCTAAGAAAGTGAATACTGTGAAGTTGCATCCTGTGATGATGAGGATGTAGACTTTGCCGCATTCGCTTCGGCGAAACCGGTCGGAACCTTCCCACTAGGCTCAAGGAACACAGAGCACATGGACTGCGAGGGGATTTTGACAAATCGGCCATTGTCAAACATTCCCACATCAACGACCACAAAGTTGATTGGGATGCGGCCGAACTCATCGCACCGATCCAGTTTTGGCATCCAAGACGCATACGGGAAGCCATCGAGATCCGCAAGCACAACACAGTTCCGCAAGACATCGGGTTTCACCTCAACGACATCTGGCTCCCACTTCTCCAGACTGATGGGTCTCCTATACCCTAGGTCCTCAGCTACTACCTTAGACTGATGGGTCTCCTATACCCTAGGTACTCCCTCTACTGACACTGCAACCCTACTGTTACACTTCAGTGGGCACTAAGCTTGCTCTAGGATCCTGTCTACTTGGCATCCTCACAGGATGCAACTTCACACTCCATTGATTTCACCTTTTGCTACTTAAGTATTCACTTTCTTAGAGTTTAGGCACTCTCCTGAAGACGGTCAGAGCATACTGACCGGAACGTCGAGTTTATACCTCTGGTTCTTTTCAGAACCATTCTCTTAGTTGAGAAATTATTCGCACATGGTGTTTCCGCAAACCTTTCATTATTTAAACACTGTCAAGTAAAGTTATGAATATTTTAATGTAAGAACAAAGGATCACGAAAAAAATCCTTTCCAGGACAATCAATTCATTTGTTTAAAAAAATGTATCTTTAACGGTGTGATAAATTTCAGTAAACATTCTACGTACACATACAAGTTATTTCTGGCTTGATAACCTCATTCTTCAAAAACAGGAGGTGGATACGGTTTTAGTTCGGAATGGATGTTCATTGTGAAGTTCAATAACGTATGAAAATATGGACAATAAAAGTGTATGTACTTATCACACCGAATTTCCTGTTTGATGACGTCACAGTATTTGGAAGCAAAGGTGAACATTGTAATGGTATCGTTATTTGGGCTAAGATATACGACATGGATCAAATGATAAAATTAAATTTAAAATATGATCGTTGACAAATTCTCAAAGAAGTAACTTCCGGTCAGATGACGTCATGAATTTGAAACCTTGCTAAGTTATCTGCGGTTAATCAAAGAATATCAAGGGTCGATTTGGTAAAATTGGAACCTATGGTTTTAAAATTAAAGAAAAGAAACACTATTTTATGTGCTGCTATGGGGCGCCCTTTCGGATGATGATGTCATCACACTGTTTTTTGTGTCTGGCATTCCGCACTAAACACTTTCATAATATATATGTTTGTAGTAATGCTTCCGGTTTTTTTTTGTTACATTCAGTTTTTATTTCACTTCCGGTAACACCGGAAGTAAAGGTCAAGCAGTTTTGTGTCTGGGAACACGAAATGTTTCTCACGGCATAGTCTACAACCTCACAAAAAAATGAACACGATACTCTATTTAGTTTAAAAGATATAGTGCAAACTATTTTATCAAAATTTGCCCTTAAATCGC